TTTCTATAAATGTGCTTAAGTCAATGAATTATCTCACAACTACAAAACCACTGTAAGTTTGATTAAATCTAGCATGAAAACAGCAGTTTCTGTGGGGGGAAAAATTAAAAGTTTCTTAGAAAGCACTGAGATATTCTAAAAAACACTGCACCCCCAGCATTAGTTGGCACAACTCAAAAGCAGTAGCTAAGAATGATAAGTAGATATTACTGCTTATAAGCTTATGGGTCAGCTGGATGTTCTTGTGATCTCACCTGGACTCCCTCACGCATCTGTGGTTCACTGTGGGTCAGGTATGCAGCTCTGCTAAACTCGGGGGCCTCTCTCTATGTTTGGGAGACAGGTGGCTATAGCTGGTCCAGGCTGGCCTCCCCTGGGATGGTTGCGATCTGCTCTTCATGTGCTCCCATCCTCTAGCAATCTTCTGAAACTTGTTCCCAAGATGCTGGCAGGACTCCAACAGAAAGGGAGCAGAAGTGCCAGGTCCCTTGAGACCCAGGCCAATCTCAAGCTGGGTCTCTCGAGACCCAGGTTTAAAACTCTATTGGCCTTGCCAAGTCCAGAGGCCAGCCCAGATTCAAAAATGGAGAAACATAGGCCACCACCCTCTGCAGGGAGGAGTTTGTTGTAGTGTCACATTGTCAAGACCACAGGTACTTGAGGAATTGAAATGCTTTGGCAATGGGCGCTCTATACACTGCTACTTGGAATTAGAATCCTTTTGTCTTCATGCTACCCTCACCCTGACTCATGCAGCCCAGGCCTTGTCAGGGCCTGGAGCATTTTTCATTAAAATGAAGACTGTTTCATCACTTTAAAAAGATAGAATGAAGTCTGCTGTGTGGCAATTCATTTGGGGGCTCTTATTAATGTGTTGTTCTGTGACCTATGTCAGTATGTTCACTTTGAAGTTTCAAGATGATCTCCACCCTAGGATAACTGAAAATGTGTACATACTAATTTATGAACTTTGCAAAAGACTATGGTTTTCAAACTAAAGACAAAATTGTTGGAGAAAATTTATATTTATTCACATTTGTATTTTATATTAGTGTTTATAAAACATATATTTAAGAAAGTTGAATTTTATACATAACTGCTCATTGATTTTATTATAGTCATGTCTATTTTCAGGGATTGTATTTTTCACTGAATGATTAATTTATATCTCTGAGATCTGTGATATATAAACACAGTTCCATGATTCCACAGCAGTTTTGTTTATATTATTTTTCTCAAGCATACTGTAAGTAATCTCCAGTTAAATGAATCTAGGTGTAAGGAACATAACACCTAGGAATAAAAAGTCTTTCCAAATACATTGCTTAAATTTGGCAGGCTTACTTCAGAAACATAGTCTTGTGTGTGTGTGTGTGTGTGTGTGTGTGTGTGTGTGTTTTAAGACAGAATTTTGCTCTGTCATCCAGGCTGGAGCGTAATGGTGTGATCTCAGCTCACTGCAACCACCACCTCCTGGGTTCAAGTGATTCTCCTGCCTCAGTTTCCCAAGTAGCTGGGACTACAGGCGTGGTGCCACCACACCCAACTAATGTTTGTATTTTTAGTGGAGATGGGATTTCACCATGTTGGCCAGGCTGGTCTTGAACTCCTGACCTCAAATGATCTGCCTGCCTTGGCCTCCCAAAGTGCTGGGATTACAGGCATGAGCCATTGCTCCCGGCCTAAGTCTTGTTTTAAAATAAATCTGCGCTTGGCTCTTTTGAACTTGTCAAAACTACCAATGACATGAAATCACTTATTATTATTTGTTATTATTATTAATTTGTTATTAAATAAAATTCCTAAAGATCAAAATTCAAAATGAAAAATAAATACAGGATATATGTCTCAATCATTTATTTCTTTTCTTTTCAGCAAACCATTCACACAAAAAGTGAAATGAAGAATTTTAGCAATCCTTAAGTATTTTAACAGGGCTACTTCACTGAATTTTAGTAAGTCTCAAGATATTTATTGAGATAATTATCACATATATTAAAAATGAGGAAAAAATTACTTGATTCAATGGGATATTTCCTTTGTGGTCAATATCTATTAGGTGGTATTATGCAATGGAAAATTTGAAACAATTATTGTGTACCAAATGATTCATTAAATGATTAGCTAATTGATCATATTTATTATAATCTATTTCAGTCAATGGTCTCTAAGGATGAGAATTAATATAGGAATGCCATTAGCCATTTATAAATGAAAATTTTTGCTTTATTCTTAATGACAATTGACTACTAGCTAAAGGCAAAGTACATTAAGTAAGTAAACCCAGGAGAAAAAAACTAGAATCTATAGAGACTGTAGTCTAGACAAATTGCAGTTATGTAATTTCAAAACTACCTAACAATGTTTTAGTCAACAACCACATATATGACAGTGGTCCCATAAGATCAAAATGAAGCTTAAAAATTCCTGTTGTCTAGTGAAATCATAACCAACACAACATCACAGCACAATGCATTACTTAACGTTGTTTGTGGTGATGCTGGTGTAAACAAAGCTACTGTGCTGTCGGTTACATGAAAGCATAGCACATACAATTGTGTGCAGTACATAATAATGTATAATAATAATAAATATGTCACTGATTTATGTATTTACTATACTACAGTTTTTATTGTTGCCTTAAGGCATGCTCCTTCTACTTATTAAACAAAAAGTTAATTGTAAAACACCTTCAGGCAAGTCCTTCAGGAAGTATCCAGAGGTAGGCATAGTTACCATAGAAAATGACAGCTCCATACGTGTTATTGTTCCTGAATATCTTCCAGTGTGCAGGCAGAAAACAGTGATCTTGATGATCCTGACCCTGTGTAGGCCTAGGTAAATGTATTGTTTATGTCTTAGTTTTCAACAACATAAAAATGAAAATAGATTTTTTTCCAAAAATATGGATATAAAGAAAATATTTTTGTACGGTTGTATGCTGTGTTTGTATTTTGAGCAAAGTATTATTTTTAAAGAGTTGAAAAGTTTTAAAAATTAAAAATGTTTAAGTTATAACAAGCTAAGGCTATTATGGAAGAAAGAAAAATATTTTAAATGAATTTAGTGTAGCCTAAGTGTACAGTGTATATGAAGTCTACCGTGTACAGTAAGGTTCCAGGCCTTCACATTCACTCACCACTCCCTCACTGAGTCAGCCACAGCAACTTCCAGTCCTGCAAGCAGCATTCATGGTAAGTGCTCTTTACTGGCATATACCATTTCTTATCTTGTATACCATATTTTTACTGTACGTTTTCTAGGTGTATTTATGTTTGATACCTCTGTGTTACAATTGCCTGTAGTGTTGAGTGTAGTAACTTGCTGTACCGGTTTATAGCCCAAGAGCAATAGACCATACCATATAGCCTAGGCATGTAGTAGGCTACACCATCTAGGTTTGTGTAGTACACTCTATGATGTTTTCACACAATGATAAAATCACTGAACAATACATTTCTTAGAAATGTATCCCCCTCTTTAAGTGACATGTGACTTTGGTTGTATACATAAGGATATCTATTTTATAATTAATATTTCCAATTGTGTTTTCTGATAGTATCTCACGTAATGAAGACAGCAACCCATTAGTCAGTTCAGGCAAGTTTTACTAAATAACTATATAGACTTGTGAGTTTACATGACTTGGCCTGAGTTCAGAGCCAGTCTGTGGTTGACTCATTTTCCTTGCAACAAAGCCCCTGTTCTCTCTACCAAGACAATACTACATTTGGCCTCATCTGTGTGCACTTCTGGGAGAGCTTAGCCATTATCAGGGATGATGGAGGAAGAGAAAGAAACTCAAAGAACATATCGTGGAACAATTTCCAGCCTTGAAAAATGGCCATAAAAAGAACTCAGTTTCCAAACACTTCTTTCCAGTAAGTGGACCTGATCTCTGTTCAATGGAAGTCATTAAAAAAACTCAAACATTTAAGAATATGGACTTCAAATCCTATATCAAACTTCACTCAGGCAATGTTAAGCCTGCATTTTATTTTACATAAAATAAGAACTATTTAATAATATTAATAGTGTTATTGATTATGAAAAATTTTATTCTGTTACATTTTATGGGTATATTATATTATTGTTCAGCAGATATATATTCACCACCTCCCTCCATGACTTCTGTAGACAGCATGCACTTCTTTGCCCCACTGATGTTGAGCCCAGTCATGTGACTTTCTTCGACCCATGGAACATAACCCAAAGTGACATTGTGCCAACTCCAAGCCTACACTGTAAAAGTCAATATGTGTCCCTATGTCCTTCTTGTGCTCCAGCCATCCATCACAAAGAGAAGATCATGCCTCACATAGCTGCCAGTTCAAGAAGGAAGAGGGACCTGTGGACCAGGCATTGGGCCCAACCTGCAGCTTGGAGCCCAGACCAGCCACATTTAGTTTAGGTCAGCTGAATCTCAGCAATGCATGGTGAAATCATTGCTAATAAGGCTGGAAAGATAGTGTCTAGAAAATTAAGAATACCAGATTAAGTTATTCACAATTACTCTATTTTGGGTGAGTGAGAATTATTACAAGTCTTTGAGCTAAATTTTGCCAAGATTATTCTGGCAACAATGTGTAGGGCATAGGGCCAAGACTTCAAATGGAGTCTACGTCTGTAGCTCCCAGAGAAGAAATAAACCATGCCGTTAGTTTGATGCTAGGACTTTTAGCATGCATGAGGCAATGTGAAGAATAAATGGGCTTTGGGAAGAACTCATGCTTGGAAATTTACAGCATGATGGCTTAATACCCAACAGAAATAATGAACCTGAATCTCTGAGAATATGGTTGTCACCTCGTTCAGGAGTCTCCCATAAGAACAGTCACATAGTAAATATTCTGCAATTGTTTTATTTTGTCTTTACTTTGGTATCTCTTGATAAGAACCTTCAGGTTAGGCTTTCAGGTCATTGTTGTGTTTTTATATTTGAACCATCTTCTTAATAAAATAAAATAAAATAAAAGTTAGCTGGGTGTGTTGGTGCGTACCTGTAGTTCCAGCTACTTAGGAGGCTAAGGCAGGAGAATCTCTTGAAACCGGGAGGCCGAGGGTCGCAATGAGCCAACATCGCACCACTGCACTCCAGCCTGGGTGACATAGCAAGACTCCATCTCAAAAAAAAAAAACAGTTTTCAAGATTTATCCATGTTGTGGCATGTGTAAGAATTTCCTTCTTTAATGCTGAATAATATTTCACTGACTGAATACACTACATTTTGTTCACACATTCATTCATCAATGGACACTTTAATTTCTTCTGCCTTTGGTGTTGTGAGTAATGTTGCTATCAACTTTGGTGTACAATATGTACACCAATATGCTTTCAATTCTTTTTGGTATATGCCCAGAAGTGGAACTGCTGAATCACATACACTACTTTTTAAATTTTGTGGAACTGGCATGCTCTTTTCCACAGTGGCTGTACATAAAGTGGCTGCACCATTTTATGTACACAAGAGTTCCAATTTCTCCCATTCTCAACAAAACTTATTTTCTGCTGCTCTTTAAAAATAGTAATCACTCTAATGGGTATAAGGTAATATCTCACTGTGGTTTTTATTGAGCATCTTTTCACGTCATATTGGCCATTTGTATATCTTCTTTGAAGACATATCTATTGAAATCCTTTGCCCGTTTTTTAATCAAGTTTTTATTTTTGTTGTTGTTGAGTTGTAGGAGTTCTTTATATATTTTGGATATTAATCCCTTGTTAGACACATGATTTGCAAATCTTTTCTCCTATAATGTGGGTTGCCTTTTTACTCTGTTACTTGTGTCCTTTGATAAAAAGTTTTGAATTTTGAAAAAAAATTCACTTTTTCCCTGTGTTTTTGGTGTCATACCCAAGAAACGAGTGACAAATAGTTCATTTACTTTTAGCAAATTCTGTCTGATAAGTCAAAAAAGATTATTTACAATGCAAAACAATTAGATTGTCTGGTTTTTCACATTCAAAACACAGGATATTAAAAATAAACAAAATCGAAGTTGGCAAACTCTGGGACTTTATTGAAACTTTAACTTTTGAAAAAACATTACTTTTTTTTTTGTTTAGTTAATTACTTTACCTGAGGTTTCTAGTTCATGTTTAGTTCATGGATGCTTTCAAATGGAAATAAAATGAGAACTCTTTTGAAGTCTACATCTATGTGTTATGTGTCTTTGTTTTGTCAAACCTCCTAGTAGAGTTAATAGCAAAGAATAGCTACTCAATATACCCTTAAAATAATATTAACCCAGGTGGTACTCTTTGATAGTATTTACACCATATATTCATTTTATAGTTGAACAAATTGATATCTTGGGAGGCAAAATAATCCAAGTGATTAATACTGAATATAAAACAGATACCTTGCTTGTACATAGAACAAAAATACTTGGGTTTAGATGTTTAGATAGCCTGTCTGAACACACAGGACAATGGATACCTGTGGGATGTAGGTGTGCATATCATGTTGCACTTTAATTGTGAGCAGGTGGTGCAAGGGGGACATGAAGATAAATGTCGGGCCCCCAAGAAAATTTATTCTAAGAGTTTACCCTTAGTCCTATAAGTGCTCCTGAAAACTCTCACCCTGCCCCTTGAGGCTTCCCACAACTCATGCATTTCCCAGGTATTAGCAAAGTATAGTGACAGATGCTGAGAAACCATCTGTGTAAATTGCCATCTTGGCCGACCAGGTGTCTTTTCTTCCCCCCTCCCCCCGCCCCAAGATGAAGTCTTGCTCTGTTGCCCAGGCTGGAGTGCAGTGGTGCAATCTCGGCTTACCGCAACCTCCCCCTCCCAGGCAATTCTCCTGCCTCAGCCTCCTGAGTAGCTGGGATTACAGGTGCACACCACCATGGCCAGCTAATTTTTGTATTTTCAGTAGAGACAGGGTTTCACCATGTTGACCAGGATGGTCCTGCATTCCTAACCTTGTGATCTGCCCACCTCAGCCTCCCAAAGTGCTGGGATTATAGGTGTGAGCCACCGCGCCCGGCTGGCATCTGACTTTTAAACTCATTTTGTTTGACAACATTTATAGTAGTTTAGGCCTTAAGGGGACTTCCAAGGCATTAGTTTCATATGCCCTTCTTTTCAGATGGAGAAAAAGAGGCCAAAGGAGGCAGTCACTTGATACAAATAAATGGCCAGTAAGTGGTGTGATCCAGATCTTAAAGGGACTCCCAGATCCAATGCTTTTACTGTTATCCCTCTGTATTCATGGGGGATTGGCACCAGGATCCCCAGTGTTGCCAAAATCTAAGGATACTTTAGTTCTTTATATAAAATGGCATAGTATTTGCATTTAATCTATGCACATCCTCCTGTATACTTTAAGTACTCTCTAGATTACTTATAATAGCTAATACAGTGTAAATGCTATGTAAGTAGTTGTTATACTATATTTTTAAAATTTATGTTATTTTTGTATTGTTTTAAAATTTTTTTGAATATTTTTTCATACATGGTTGGTTGAATTAACAAATGTGGAATCCATACATAGAGAGAGCCAACTGTATATTGTTAGAAATGTCACCAGAGGCAGAAACAAAAAAGGGACTATAGATATGCATTCCAGGAACTGACTTTCTCCTTGTCTTCTAGAAGCTTGTTCACCCTCAGCCTTCCACAAAGCCAGAAAATCTTTGGCTTCTAGCACTCTGACTCTCCCAAACCTACTAATAAAGCCATGAGGATCCTGAACATGGGGACTTCCTTACTCCAGCCCCAGGGCCTCTTTAGCTGAATCCACTGCCACCAGAAATGTGATGACTGGACTCTTTCCCAATTTTCTCCACTCTCAGCTACCTTTGATGAAGGGGGCTTCATTCTGTAAAGATTAGCATAGCTTGCTACTGGAGGTATTCCTGTTGCTGTATTCACAAAAAATTGTATTGGCAAGATTGACAATTTTCTAAAATGCTCAAATTTATCTGACCTTACAAATAACATCCACTGGAAAATTATCAGACATCTGTGAGAGTCATTTTGGGTTGAATTAAATTTTTGATGTGCTGTGAAATTGGGTCAGTGCATTAGAATTACATTTTAATAGTTATGAATGCACTCATAAAATGTTCTTCCATGCAAATTGGCAACACTCCCAGACTTGAGGAAGCTTTGAAGAGATGAATTTCAAAATTCCTGATTAGCAAATATGTGCAAGAAGTCAGAAAAGACACATCAAGAATTTTCTAATAATGTACACAATAAATTCTAGATTTATCTTACTATTATGATCTTAAATGGGGTATTTGCACTGAAAAGGCAACATTATTCAACGCTTTGTGTAGAAAGCAGGAAATTTATAAAAGGAGAAGCTGATCTTTCTTCTTAGAGTTTGTGGTTCCTGTGAAGTCATTATACTTAGTCAACTGTTTTCTGGATTGCTTAACAGAGTAAAAATAGGACAAAGCAATGAAAGTTGTGGAGACTCAGATTTCTACTGTATGTTATAAAGAACTTCTTAACAACGCACTGCCTTGTGAGGGAAAAAATTGCAGCTCATGCAGAATGGCTAAGCAGAAGGTGGACAACTATCTTTCAGGGATATTATAGAGGAGGAGTTTCCAATCTTTTGGCTTCCCTGGGCCACATTGGAAAAATAAGAATTGTCTTGGGCCACACATAAAATACATTAACACTAATGCTAGCACATAAAATACACTAACATTAGCATATAAAATGCACTAACACTAATTCTAGCTGATGAGCAAAAGTTGCAAAAAAAATTTCATAATGTTTTAAGAAAGTTTATGAATTTATGTTGGCCCACATTCAAAGTCGTCCTGGGTTGCAGGCAGCCCACAGACTGTGGGTTGGACAAGTGTCTCATAGAAGATACCACATAATATTGGATGAGAAGTGGACTCAATGACTCTCAAGAACCTTTTGATTTTAAGAGTGGGCTGGCGTAGTCTAAAAAATAGAGCCAAAAGATTCCTGGGTTGCCTGGTGGAATCACTGATAAGTAATAAGTCTCAGAAATGAATTTTCACCTAACCGAATTTATAAGTTAGTAGTACTAAACTTACCTTTCTGGAACCCACATAGAAACTAAGGGACAGACAGCTTTGGATGCAAAACTAACTCAAGTGGAGCTGGAGGAACCTGGCAGGTTACACAAACTTAAACACCTTGCAGGGCCAGCAGGTCCTCTGAAGCCAGGTATAAGACAGGAGTGTAGTGGATGTTGAGGACCAGCTTCAGAACACGTTCAAAACGTAAAGCATTTTTGATTTCCTTTCTTATCAAATCATTGCCATCAACCCTAATCCTTTACATTAGGAACACATAGGAGATAAACAAGAGAACTCTGGAGCAAATGGCCAAGACTACACAAGAAATCTTTGTTGGGGTCCAACCATGGCCCATCCCCAGTGAATGTTAGCACAGTAGAGTGTAGAGTTTTCTTCAGTTTCTAAAAGCTTACACAAGGCAAAGGTGAATGTTCACCTCGGTGCCCTTCAATTTCATCACATCCTGCATTCACATCATGTCTCTTTTCCACACTCCTCTTCCTTACCCCTTCCCCTGAGTTCTTCCCTGTGATACCTGACTTCACCAGTGCCTCATATGCGGGACCTATTCTTCTGCCTCCTCTGAATCAACATTTTACCTAAGTTACTACTTCATCCCTCTAGACCCTCTACATATGTTATGGAGTAAAATAATGGCAAGATTTAAAGACAAATAGAAACATACTCTGGGTGCCTCTTCCAAGATATTTGCATAGTAGTCAAGTTTTCTTATAACTGAAAAACCATTTCATTAAATACTGCTTCCGTAATTGTAAATTCCATGCAGGTAATCAGCAGTTAAGGGCAATTTTTTTTTTTTTTTTTTTTTTTGAGACGGAGTCTTGCTCTGTCGCCCAGGCTAGAGTGCAGTGGCGCGATCTCCCGGGTTCATGCCATTCTCCTGCCTCAGCCTCCTGAGTAGCTGGGACTACAGGCGCTCTCCACCACACTCGGCTAATTTTTTTGTATATTTAGTAGAGATGGGGTTTCACCGTGTTAGCTAGGATGGTCTTGATCTCCTGACTTTGTGATCTGCCCGCCTTGGCCTCCCAAAGTGCTGGGATTACAGGTGTGAGCCACTGTGCCCGGCCAGGGCAATTGTTTAAGGTATTCTTCGGTTGTGCATCCCCCGTCCCACCAGGTAGGTCAGCCCCTCTACTTCTGTGCATAAACCTGGAAATGATGCAATGGAGATGATTTTAAAATCCCTTACTACAATCTGTACTCATTCGACAAAATTTAACCAGTTTCTTCTGTGGAGGAGTTATTGTACTCTTCAACAAGCAGCATTACTGATCTATGGATAACATTATTATACTAAAGCACTTTATTTTTTTTTCTAAAAGTTTATGCATTTATGGCCTCTGAGGTTAAGCCTATTATTTTTACTTCATTGAGTATGATTTTGCTACATTTTTAAAGGAATTCATTTAAGTGTTATTTGACATTTAGACTGAAATGATTTTTCAGTTTGTTTGGAAGAAACACTTCTAAAAAGTTAAGAAGTCAGAAGTCTACAAGTCAATGGAGATAAAATATGAAAACAAGGACTTGGTTTTAAAAAGTTGTAATCACAACTGCTAAAATTAAGTCAACTTACTAGAACCTTCTGAAAACAAACATATATGCAAATACCGTAAAATATATGGATTTATACCACAAAAATCCAAACACAGGGAACCTATGATAGTCATTTTTTCTGTCAAAAACCAAGGCAAAACTGGTTCTAATTTGCTTCCATTGAACCAAAGTTGTGAAATAGAATAGGGATGATCAAAGCAACCATTTTCTCAAACTTTCTCTTATACCAAACCTTTTAGCCAAACTGCTAGAGAAAATTAAAACCGAAGTTTCATCCTCTTTTTTCCTTTGTCTAATCAGTGCTTGGGAGAGAAAATAACATAGGTAGGATTCCTTGGTTTACTGGATAATCGAGACTCTCAGCTAAAAACAAAAACTTTTGTAGTATTTATAGAGGATGACAACTCCAGTTTTGAAATCTAGAAGGCAGTGATTAAAAGAATTTGTTTTTCTCCTCTCCTCTCAAGAATGTATCGTACTTGCATTAAGAAGGAAAATGAAGCTCGGCGTCTAACATGCTCACCTTAAAAAGTACCTCTCAGCCAGGTGGGTGCAGTGTTCTGGGAAGTCTTCACATGCCTCCACCGCAGAGAGCTCCGCGCTCTTCAGAAGACGGGACCACTCTCCTTGGGCAGGGAAGACCCTGCTCCTACAGCTGGAAAATGGACCGGAGGCAGCTTGGAGCTGACTTTCTTTGCGCCGCCTGCCAAAGGCTCCTCAGTAGCATTGCGAGAATCCAGGGCCCAGATTCAGGGCTGGTTGAAGTTACAGTTTTTTTCCATCTCCGCTTTGAAAATACAGAAAATGACCGAGATGAAAATACCAGTGACAGCCATTAAATAAAAGATAATAAAAATGGCCAAAGCAAGCATGAGATCCACAACGAAAATAATCAGTTTTGCCAACATGTTGGCATTTCTTCTCGTTCACAGAATGTATTTCAAAAGTCCCAAAGGCACCTACCATGTGATTATGTCTTTGTAAAATGTGGGCAGGAATAAGGACATTTCTAAACATGCTGAAGAGTGTTGTAATTCTTCTAAGTATCTACCAGGAAGGCTGGTTTAATGAAAGTTTTGATTTCCCAACTGGTACAAAACAGTGGCTAAAGGTAAAGTGTGGAATATTGCTTCACTGTGGGGACTCTAATGGGGAGAAGTCCAAGAATTTATTTCATCCTATAACTGTGTAATTACTGATTTTAATTTCCACGGGGTATAGACACCCTAATGTGCATTTATAGCATAAAAGGCTATTATAGATATCTGATGTTTCTTAGAAAATTAAAATGTGCCAGTCCAGTGTAAAGGGAAAATAAAGCCATTTTCAAACATGCAAAGCTTCAGAAAGTTTATTTCTTTTGTGTAGTTTTTTTAAAGTTACTAGAGAATATAATTCAATAAATTATTTTGCTTGCTGAAAGAGAAATACTTGGCATGTAAGAAACTGCAAATTTAGCCAATAGAGCAATGAAATTAAATCCCAGAATCATAGCTCAGCAGCAGACATACAAGGCAATAAATTCAAATTAGGAAAGGAACTTAGTGAGCTACCAGAGATAGGCTTTAAGAAGACAGTCACTTTTCTATGTTAAGTGGTACGATGGAAAAGCATGATGATCTAAAAATAAAATGACCAGTATATATCTTAGTTAACAAGGTATATGAAAGGTAAGAAGAGAATTCAAGAAAAACCACAACGTTGAATAATGAGCCATGATCCTCATATGAAACAAACTAAACTGAAGGACAATTCTGAGAAATTGATAAAATACAGGAAATGAGACTTTATTTGTCCTTAATATTCAGAACGTTTCTTCTTTAAGTAGCACAGATTGAGAGTGGGAGATTGTACTTCCAAAGGGTTCAATCACACTGCTTGATTGTACAATGAAATTGCCAAACTCATAATATTTCAAATACTGTCACATGTTTTACATTTCTAGAGACCTAAAACAAGACAAGAAAATTAAACTTATTAAAGTGATAGAACAAAATAAAAAGGTTATGAACTTTAACAATTTAAAAGTAATGATACAGCTTGACAAAAGTTGGGAGGCATAGTGGGAGAGGTGGAGAGAAGTGAGGGAATATTAGTTTCCACACTTTGCATAGCTGGAATTCAAAGGATATTGTCTAATACTAGCATAAGAAAAGAAGAGTAGGTATAGTTTTCAAAATAATAAAGAAGACTGATGGGAGATCTAAAAATACATATTTAATGAGATTTGTAAGATAGAATGCGTAGCACAGGATGTTGAATTCTTCATTTTTTGGCAGCAAATTAGCAAATACTGTTTAAAACTGCTAAACAAAAAATTTGATTTATTTAGCATATTATCTAGATCTTTACTGTTCAGTATGATAGCCACTAGCTACATGTGGCCATTGAACACTTGAAATGTAGCTAATCTGAATTAATATGTGCTATAAGTATAAATACAGTTAAGATAAAACATAAAATTTAAAATATTCATTTTTAAATGTTGACTATGTTGACTATACGTGAAATAATAACATTGTGGATAAATGAGATTACATAAAATGTATCATTAACATTATTTTCACCTGTTTCTTTTTACTTTTTAAAATGTGACTACTAGACAGATTAAACGTGGTTCACACTATGCTTCTATTGAACAGCAGTGATTTAGAATTTCCAAGCTAATCATCACAAGAACCAAAACCAAAAAATGTTAAACATAGTCCTCTTTGGAAAGTAGGACAGTTGTAGGGATAGAGGAAGACTTTATATTTTTATTTTGTGCTCTTTTGCGTAGCCTGAATTTTTATTATCAAGTCCATGCATTTATTGACTGAAATACACATAAAATATAATGTATAATGAATAAAAATTATAGTCCATTTTTAAAGAGTGTATTAGCGGGGTGAACTGAAAGCAAAAATCAAACAAATGAAATAAGAAGAGTAATTTAGATAAAATGTAAAAACAACACACCTATAGGAAAAGAATGAAAGGGAAGTGTAGATAATTATAATTATATTTTAGATAAGAAACGTATTATAATCTATGTTTTAGATATTAAATTTAGATTTTAAAATGTATTATAGTAACCAATAGTGCATTTTTTAAACTTACGATCCAGTTTTAGAAATCATTGGGTAGTTTTCTACATATTGGATTAAATAATAATTTTTAATAGCCAGTAGAAGATGGCAATGTAATGATTAATACAGTGTACTTAGCTTTATGCTTAAGTAATATACACATGCTCCAATTTAACAAAGAGATAAATTTGGCAGTAATCGTTCCCACTAAGGAAGCTTGTCCTCAACTACAAGAACTAATGAAGATTTTCAGAATTGAACACCCTCAAGTATTATCACAGCTTCAACTCCCTAATTTCGCAGAACTGCTAGAGAAGTAACAAAGGCAGGGAAAGAATCTAGATTTTTCTAATTGCAATGTTTAAAGACAGAATGAAAGTAAATTCACATGCAACATTTACTAAAATCAAATGTAGAGTCAACATTTCTCAGGAACATCAAGTAAAACTAAATAAATATTAGTATTAATTGGAAAAAATACTGAGTTCAGTCTTTCATAATGAAGAGCAAATTTTTAGAGGTCACTGGGGAGAAAACTCTGTTCCTTTAAGAATTTGTTCCATCAAAAATGCCAGTAAAGTTGTCAGAGGAGCAGACAGAAATGTAACATCCATATGAATCAACTGTCCTTTTGAATATTTGTTTTTAAATTTGCTCCACTGTGTGATTTTAAAAAGAGAGGAATATATCCTGCTTTCACGTTCAGTTGTCTTAATTTCCCTTTAGATCATCCTTCCTTTGGCCAAAACTTTGTTTTCTACTGATACTTGCATACGATGGCCTATGCTAGTAGGTTAAATGTCCTCAGCCTTTAAGGTATCTGACGGTGAATTTTAATTAAAAATAACTTCTTTTAAAGAATAGATTTTGAAAGAAAAGATGGAAAAAGATGAAAAGATAGGAAAAGAGAAAAGGGGAATTGAGGCACTAAGAAACATCATGGAATTCAAGGCCGGGCCCAGTGTCGGAAGCCTGTAATCCCAGCACTTTGGGATGCCAAAGCTGGAGAACTGCTTGAGTCCAGTTTGAGACCAGCCTGGGAAACATAGTGAGATCCTGGTCTTTATAAAAAATAAAAAAATAAGCCAGGCATGGTGGCTTATGCTTGTAGTCCTAGCTACTTGGGAGACTGAGGTGGGAAGATCACTGGAGTCCCCACTGCACTCCATCCTGGGAGACAGAGGGAGGCTCTGACTGACAAAAAAGAAAAGAAAAGAAAAGAAAAGAAAAGAAAGAAAAAAAGAAAAGAAAATGATACAGGAAGAGTTGGGCTCAGAGAAGATTATAGCAAACTTCACCTACTGTACAGATTTGGAACTCCAGGTGCCTGGCTAGTGTGAGACCATGAGGGCATGAATTGGAATTGTGGCTTTTAATGTCCTTCCACATAAAAACTGGTGTGATTTCAATTGTAGATTGATTTGTGGCTCAAGACTAAAAGGATCACAGAAATTCTTTTCATCAAGTTCAAGAACTTTGGGTTTTTATCATAGAACAGATTTAAGAAAAAGTTTTTAGATCTAGGACTAAGTATGGTAGAGAACAGTGCTTTAAGATATAAAGAGGTTTGCTGACATGTATTTTATTGATGGATGAGTTTTTTCTGAATATAAATCAGATCTTATTTTTAACTGCCAAAAATCACGTTTAACTTGTCACCCTAAAGAGCTCCCAAAATATACTTCCAATTATTTAAAATGCATTTTAACCAGTAGCAATGAAGGCTGCAGTCCATTTAAAACTACTGCAGTTGACTATTGCAGCTAAATCACCCATTTAATATCTCTTACTTTTCAGATCATCAAATCCCATAAGACTTACTATAAATCTTTTCACTTCCACCCCAAAATGATTTCGGCAGATACATTGTGAATTAAATGATGCTGTAACTTGATTTATGTACATCTGGACTTTCAACCCAATGGCTTCCCAGAACTCAATCAATCTTTATGAAGTCCTAGTAACGTACTCGAAAAGGACTGCAATGCAGTGAGTTATAAATGAAGCCTGGATTTTTGCCAATGTTACTAAATAAGGAGCTGTGCGACCTGGCCCGTGCTTTATAGCTGCTGATGGAGGAGCACTTCCACTTTGGGCTCAGCAGCTCCCTGGGCTATGTTTCCTGCCCTCTCAAGTCAGCTACCATGCCCTGAAATGACTTTTTATTTTTTTCACTGTGCCACTGCTGAGAAAGGTTGAGAAGAGTTTCAATGCTTAGACTCCTTGAATTTTTATTTTATAGAGTTAGTTGAAGTTTCTACAGCTTGCTTGTATTTTCACCCTATTAATTTATTCAGATAGGAGCCTCCTTATGCCTAATCTAATGTAATTCAGTAAGTCTGATCACTGTATTTTCATTCCCAATATTAGGGGACTCTCCATTCTTATAAAAGATTAAACTTCCCTTCCCCGTTGACATCAGGCTTGGCCACATGACTTGCTTTGGCCAATAAAATGTGGTCAGAAATGTCAGAAGCCAGTTCTGAGCCAAAGCTCTAAGAACCACTCTGTGGTTTCACATTATTTTCTTCTCACAGCCAGTGGCCCGGTAGGTCCCAGGTAGGGGCTGCTCATTCAGCCTGCGTGGGTTCCAGATACAAGAGCCTAAGTCAATCTATGATTAACATGTAAAATGAGAAAGAAAGAAAACTGTTTGTTGTAAGCTACCAAAATTTGGAGATGGGGGTGTCTTTGGTTACTGTAGCATAACACAGCACAAGCTGACTGATACAATAAGCATCCGACATAGAAACTGTAAGAAACACTTGAACAGGAATAAACCAAGAAAGCTCAGCAAAGCTTTAGCCAATGAGAGTGGTATCTTATTTTCTTAAGATTTGGGACT